GCAAGCGGCACCGTCAAGATCAAGATCTTAACAATGGAGAATATTAACAACGACTAGTGCAAGAGTTGAGTGAGGCCAAGGTAGAGGGAGTGAGGAGGCAAAAAAAAAGGAGTGATGATGGGAGGCCTACCCTGCAGTCCAAGATATCTCGGACTAGCAGGGCATGAGAAAATAGAGCTCCAAGGGGCTCTACGCAGAAAATAAGCTGCCAAGGAAAAATCGGAGCAGGGGGGGAACCAAAATTGAGTATAACGGAGGCAAAATGAAGCCCCCGTAGGTGTGGAAGCTTCATTGTTGTAATCCGAGATAGAACGGTCAGCTGCTGGATCTGGATCTGGCTCTAGATCAAGATCAAGATCCATGGCCTAGAAAAAGAGTACACAACTGCTTGACACTTGTCACAGCAGAAATAGAAGAAAAGGAGAGAAAAGGTGAAAAAAACGAGGGAGGATGAAACAAAGAGAGAGAAAAGAGAAGAGGAGAATGTGTCGCCCAGTTGGGACTGACACAGTAGGGAATGGCAGGTCCCTACGGTGACCTCACTCCGGATTTAGTGAAGGGCAATCCGGAGTGCAGAGATAAGGCCCTTGGGCCATTATCTCAACAACATATGAATTAAAAAGGCAACAATATATGAATTGAAACAGCAAAAATGAGAAAAAAAGCAAAAAGGAGTTGGCCGTTTTTTTTTTTTCTGAACCATGGATCTGAGATCAGATCTCATGTGGGAGAGGATATGGTCGTTATTCGTGGGGCCAGCTCAAACGACCAACTCCGAAATTAGTTGACAGCCCAGAATGGAAAGAAACAAGAGAAGGAAAAAAACGAAACAGTGCATTTGGCCGAAAATGAAGACCAATTGCACCAAAAAATGAAAAAGTGAGCCTTGGGGCTCAAATATGAAGCAAGGACCACTTGGAAGCCAGATCCAAGGCTGAGAATGCACTGAGGAAAAAAAAAAAAAAGCCTCGGCCTACTAAAGATGGGGTAAAACTACAGAAAATCGAAAAAAGGTCCAAAAGGTTTTTTTCTTTCAAGGGGGGCTGCCCCTTGAATATTCAGACTCAAGGGACATCATCGGAAAGTGAAAATGAGGCATGAGGAGACTCTAGAGGCAGGCCAAGCTGGTACCAACCACTCGGACTTCATGTACCTGGCCAAAGGAGGCCCAGGTGCTCCCGGAGAGGCCTAGTGGTAAGAAAAGGCCTTGGGGGTACCTCGGTTCACTTTGGGGCACATGAAGAGGTCCATGGGCTGGCCGAAGTATTGTGCCCAACCTACATAAGTTGGGGGAGCAGCCCATCACACTCACATTTGCATGAGGCAAGTACATGCTGCCCAAATGAGCTCATAAGAGCACTACACTCACTTGGAGCCGCTGCCAGACTAGAGGCTTGGAGGAGGTTGTAGGCTAGTGAGAGACGCTACTGAGGCTGGTAGAAGTAGTTTTGGCCCAAGGAAGTGATCCGCCATAGCCCCCAGGCTGTGAGAGAGAAAAAAAGGCTAGTGTGGATCCACCTAGCCCTCCTAAAGGAGCGGACTCCATAGCATTGGTGGTAGGAGCTTGCCATAGCTTGGGACAAGCTGAGGAAGGAAGGAGACAAGGGTTTCAAGAAGAAGGAAGCCATAGCTGGGCTACAAGTGTGCAAAGAAACATGAGACTTCGCCAAGGTTGGCATCTCCATCTCAAGAGATTAGAGGTGAGTGGGAAGCTTCTTCTTCTTCTTCTTCTCTTCCTCCTCCTCCTCCTTCCCTCCTCCTTCTCCTTCTTCTTCCTCTTCTTCCCCTCCTTCCTCTTCCTCATCTTCTCCTTCCCTTCCATCCTCGTCTTCTTCTTTCTCCTTTTATTCTCCTCCTAATTATTCTTCACCTTTCTCCATCTCCTCCCTCCCCTCTCTTCTCCTCTTTTGTCCTCTCCATAACTAACATACTAAGCATGGGGCAAGTAGGAAGTAGCTTCTCCACTAGAGATTGCATCTATATTGTTTATTTCCCCCTTCCAGTGTAATCCGACACTTCGGGGTTTGAGTATCCTAGCTTGACAGTGAGTTTCATTCACTCTCCCTTCATCTTTTGTCCAAATTTGCACTTGGATGTGAATCACCACTTTTGTACTTGCTTATTCTTGTGTTCTAGTCTTTCTCTACACTTGCATTGTCCATTTCCACTCTCCATTGTAATCCGGCACTTTGTGGTTCGAGTATCCTAGCTTGAGAGTGAAACCCTTCATCTTTTGTCAAAATCTGCACTTGAGTGTGAATCGCCACTTTTGTCCTTGCTTATTTTACTGTTGTAGTCATCATCTACACATGCATTCTCCATTTTCACTCTCCAGTGTAATCCGACACTTTGTGGTTTGAGGATTCTAGCTTCCCTTCGTCTTTTGTCCAAATCTGCACTTGGGTGTAAATCGCCACTTTTATCCTCGCTTATTTACTGTTGTAGTCATCATCTACACATGCATTGTCCATTTTCACTCTCCATTGTAATCCGACACGTTGTGGTTTGAGTATTCTAGCTTCCTTCGTCCTTTGTCACAATCTGCACTTGGGTGTGAACCGCCACTTTTATCCTTGCTTATTTTACAGTTGTAGTCATCATCTACACAGGCATTGTTCATTTTCACTCTCCATTGTAATCCAACACTTTGTGGTTTGAGTATCCTAGCTTGAGAGTGAGTTTCCCTCACTCTCCCTTCATCTTTTATCCAAATCTGCACTTGGGTGTGAATCGCCACATTTGTCCTTCCTTATTTTACTGTTATAGTCATCATCTACACATGCATTATTCATTTTCACTCTCCATTCTAATCCGGCACTTTGTGGTTTGAGTATCCTAGCTTGAGAGTTAGTTTCACTCACTCTCCCTTCATCTTTTGTCCAAATATGCACTTTGGAGTGATCGTCACTTTTGTCCTTGCCTATTTTGTTATTGTAGTCATTATCTACACTTGCATTGTCCATTTTCATTCTCCATTGTAACCCGGTACTTCGTCTTTTGAGTTTCCTAGCTTTCCCTTCATCCTTTAATATAATCTTCACTTGAGAGTGAATCGTCACTTTTGTCCTTGCTTGTTTTCCTGTTGCAGTCATCATCTAACCTTGCATTGTCCATTTTCACTCTCCTTTGTAATCCGGTACTTTGTGTTTTGGGTTTCATAGACTGGGAGTGAGTTTCACTAACTCTCCTTCATCCTATGCTCTAATCTTCACTTGATGGTAAATAACCACTTTTGTACTTGCTGATTTTGATGTTGTAGTCACCATTTACTCATGCTCTCCACTTTCACTTTTCATTGTGTCCCGACACTTAGTGTTTTGAGTTTCATAGCTTGGGAGTTAGTCTCACTCACCCTCCCTTCGTCCTATGCTCTAATCTTCGCTTGATGGTACACTATCAATTTTGTCCTTGTCGATTTTAATGTTGAGGTCACCATTTACTCGTGCCTTGAACATTTTCAATTTCCATGGTGTCCCGACACTTTGTGTTTTGAGTTTCATAGCTTGAGAGCGAGTCTCACTCACTCTCCCTTCATCCTATGCTCTACTCTTCACTTGGTAATAAATCCCCACTTTTATCCTTGCTGATTTTAATGTTGTAGTCACCATTTACTCATGTTTTCTCCACTTTCACTTTTCATTGCGCCCCGACATTGTGTATCGAGTTTCATGGCTTGAGAGTGAATCTCCCTCACTCTCTCTCTATACTTTGCCGAGATTTTCGCTTGGATGTAAAGTGCAACCTAAATCCTTATCCATTCTGTTAAACTGACTAGACATTGTGTATTTGCGGCAGCTCACCTCCCCATGTGCTCTATCTGAATGACACTAATTCCCCTCCCCTTGCTTTGTTTGAACACAACTTCACCCCCCCGTGCTCAACTCGAACGAGGTAATGGAGGGGAAGCGGATAAGGGACTATAACTGCTGCAGTTGTTGCTGCTGTTGGTAGTAATGGTGGTGTTGTTGCCTGGCCAAGCTCTTGACTGCTGCTGCTGTTGAGAAACCGTCATCCAAGTCCCTGGGTAAAGACCGGGCCGAAATAGCCAACGGTCCGAGGCGGCCCGAGCTGTCGAAAACCAACTCCGCCAAACGGGGGATATGGGGGTTGGGACTGAGCAGACCCCATATCCTAAGCATATATAAATGACCCCCAAAACTGCCAGCCCATCTGAGTCCATTTTCCCACAAAACGAGAAATGGACTTCCCCGAACTATTCACTTAGAGCCGCGGGCGGTGCCCGAAACATGCAAGTACGGGCAAATGGCGACGAAATCCGGTCAAAACTCTAGGGGGGTCTTAAAGGGCCTATGAAGTTACTTGGACATTTGACATCGTTTGGGCCACCAAATGTAGATCTGTGTTTTTCGGCTCCCCTTCCCCTAGAAAAACTAGCAAAAACTGAATAACCACAAATCTGAGTTTTTCGCAGTCTGAACTTTTCCGGCAAGTCTTGAGTTTTGCAAAGTCTGAGGGTCTGTGCAAATCTGCATTTCGCAAGTCTGGGTTTTCTGTTGGTGAGACCACGAAAGTAGGTAGAAACCGGAAGCTTGGGATCCACCATAGCCAAGCACCTTCACACCTTCTTCCACCTCCATCTCCTTCACCCGTCCACCATAGCCAAGCACCTTCACTCCTTCAACCTCCACCTCCTTCACCCATCCACCATAGCCAAGCACCTTCACTCCTTCCACCTCCACCTCCTTCACCCGTAAACCATAGCCAAGCACCTTCTTCCACTTGCATCTCCTTCACCCATCATCCATAGCCAAGCACCTTCGCACCTTCTTCCACCTCCACCTCCTTCACCCAACCACCATAGCCAGGCACCTTCACACCTTCTTCCCCCTCCACCTCCTTCACCCATCCACCATAGCCAAGCACCTTCACACCTTCTTCCACCTTCACCTCCTTCACCCATCCACCATAGCCAAGCACCTTCACACCGTCTTCCACCTCCACCTCCTTCACTCATCGACAATAGCCAAGCACCTCCACACCTTCGACCTCCACCTCCTTCACCCATCCGCCATAGACAAGCATCTTCACACCAGCTTCCACCTCCACCTCCTTCACCCCCCCACCATAGCCAAGCACCTTCACTCCTTCCACCTCCACCTCCTTCGCCCATCCACCATAACCAAGCACTTTACTCCTTCCTCCGCTTCCATCTCCTTCACCTATCCTCCATACCCAAGCACCTTCACACCTCCTTCCACCTCCACCTCCTTCACCCATCCACCATAGCCAAGCACCTTCACACCTTTTTCCACCTCCACCTCCTTCACCCATCCACCATAGCCAAGCACACTCACACCTTCGTCCACCTCCACCTCCTTCACCCATCCACCATAGTCAAGCACCTTCACTCCTTCCATCCCACCTCCTTCACCCATCCACCATAGCCAAGCACTTTACTCCTTCCACTTTCATTGCCTTCACCCATCCTCCATAGTCAATCGCCTTCACTCCCTCTTCCGCCTTCACCTCCACCCACCCACCATAGCCACGCACCTTCACTCCTCCCACCTCCATCTCAATCCTCCATATCCAAGCACCTTCACTCCTTTCTCCTCCGCCACCTTCGCTCGTCCACCATAGCCAAGCACCTTCACCCCTCCTGTACCTCCCTCCTCCACCTTCACCAATCAACGTCCTAGCAGCAAAGCAATAAAGGAATCATAAGAAGGTAGGAGAAGTAGAGGGTAAATTTGGATTAGGCTTAAGGGTCTCTCTCTCTCTCTCTCTCTCTCTCTCTCTCTCTCTCTCTCTCTCTCTCTCTCTCTCTCTCTCTATCTATCTATCTATCTATCTATCTATCTATCTATCGCGCGCGGGGGGCGGGCGATCTCCGACCTCTCCCATCCCCTTCCTCCAAGGTTAACCCCTGCTCTACCTCCCATTTCCCCTTGGCATGCAACTAACCCTTTCCTCACCCACTTGTTACATTGCCAGGGTACGAACGGAAAAAGAACTTTGAAATCTCCTTTGGTGGAAAAACAGGGCAAGGGGAAGGGTTGTCAACCTCTTATGCCACCAAGAAGTTAAGGAAGAGGAGAGCTTGATAGGCTTGACAATTGATAAAGTGTGAGAAGGGCTAGAAAGAGCTGCTAAGAAAAAGAGAGGCAAGTTGACTCAACCAGAACCCCGACTGCATGACTAAGAGAAGAGGATGGCTTGGATGAAAGAAACAAAATGAGAAGGGAAATAACCCAAGGACATGGAAATTAGGCATGTGGGAAGGACTATGTGTTGACACCAAATAAGGGTTGTATCTGTCTGCTTTGTGTTCAGCGTGCAGGTGAGTAGCCTTGGGATGTCTTGCGCTGGACTGAGCCCCGATATGCCGAGCGGCAAAGGGAAAACAGAAGGACAAAGGCTAAGTGGTCGTGAACGTAAAACTCTGTTTGTGAAGCAGACCTTTGTGCAATGGATGAAAAGGAAAAGGGGATGTTGCGTATTGGTTGAAGTGTTGTCTAGTGTTGGGGGTGGAAACGGTCGCCAAGTCCTTTGAGTATGCGGGTGGGGACCCCGGAAAGACTAAGGGGTACTTAGGGAAGCAATGAACATGATCTATGATGTATGGAGATAATGAGTGCTAATGCATAAGCTGGCTAACGGGGAGAATGGCATTCCCGCACCTTGATGAAGCCCTAGGACCATTGCATTAGGGAATGGATGCGTGGCCTAAGGATAACGCTTAGCCTGCGCATAATGGAAGAGAAGTCTCAAAGAACTCCTTCGACTGCCTGCGTATTGGAAGGAGCAATTGCATGATAACACAACAAAATATCAAGAACAGGACGCCTGCGAGTGAATAGCAAATCTGCCCCACTAGCGAGAAAGTTGAGCTACATCCCCAATGTCAGAGCTCTCTCGCTCAATGGCCCACCCCCATCCATCTCAAAGCACTAGGTGGGGGTGACCCTGTGACGAAGGGCTTTGCGCCCTGAGCATGAGCGTGGGCGGAGCCGGGGCAACGGGGACCCGCTGAAGGGTTGACTAAGGCTCGAAAGTCTAAGAGGGTGAGGCCCTACAACGGTAATCGAAGGACTTAGCATCATGGTGGATGTACAGTTTTGATGCATGAAAGACGGGGTATATGCGCAAATGAGGTGGCACAGCAACTGTGTATGAGGGACCAAACCCATCCTTGCCAATCATATCCAGAACTTCCCACGGACCATAATAGAGCGGAAGAAGTTCGCATGAGACTCCCTATTCTTATTAGAATTCAGACTTCTTTACCCAAACATAACTTCCTACTTCAATATCTGAAGGTCGGCGCTTCTTGTTTGCATGATGGATCATTGCATGTTGTCGTTTGGTCATTGCTGCGATAACAACTTTGAGCAAGCGATCATACTTAGCCATGAAGCCAGGCCTGTCGGGTGTGAAACCAGCTGGCTGTTCAAGGAATAGATAGGAGAGCGGATTACAAATCTGCCAACCGTAATGCAACATATTTGGCGTTATGTTAGTCGACGAATGGTTGAAGTTGTTGTACAACCCCTTAACGGAATACAACTCTTCATCCCACATTTCCAGATTCGGAATGATTAAAGCTTGGAGAAGTTGAAACACAGTTTGGTTGATGTCCACCGCCATATCGTTGGCTTTGGGGTGTCCGCCAAATGCCATGCATGGTTCGAGGCCAGGGAGTTGGGACGTGAAGTCCTTCCATTCGGTACTTATGAAGCACGGGTCCCAATCACTCACAAGAGTATTCGAGCTTCCGAACTGTAGAATGTACTTCCATTCGAACTCACGGATCACCAATTCGGTTGGGGCATGAGATGGCAAAGGAATCAGATTGAGGAATTTTGAGAAGTGCCCAACAATCACCATCACTTGTGAATAGTCATTCTTACTTACCTTTCCATGTCGGTGAAGTCGATAAAAACGGACTCCCCGAATCCATCGGGAATGGGAAGGGGTGTCAGTAGCCCCATGGGCTTTTCTCTACATGGTTGGATTCGTTGATAGACTTGACACTCAACCACAAACTTTCGAGTAGATCCCTTCATACCAGGCCAATCAAACTGTCTTAATAGGTTTCCGTATGCCTTTGCCATGCCGAAGTGTCCACTCCAGCCATGAGCCAAATCCAAGAAGTGCGCACGGAGAGACTCATGGTTGGGCACACACAAACGGTCGTGATTCCCATAGCGTTGGAAAACCAGTCCTCCATATTCGTGAAAATCAGGCTGACTGTTGGGCTCAGCCTGCAACTGCTCAAGGATAGGACTAAGATTCGCGTCCTTGGCCACAAACTTTCGTTGATAGACTTGACACTCAGCCACAAACTTTTCAGCAGATCCCTTCATACTAGGCCAATCAAACTGTCTTAATAGGTTTCCGTATGTCTTTGCCATGCCGAAGTGTCCACTCCATCCATGAGCCAAATCCAAGAAGTGTGTGCGGAGAGGCTCATGGTTGGGCACACACAAACGGTCGTAATTCCCATAGCGTTGGAAAACCAGTCCTCCATATTCGTGAAAATCAGGCTGACTGTTGGGCTCAGCCTGCAACTGCTCAAGGATAGGACTAAGGTCCGCGTCCTTGGCAGTGTGTTCTACGATCTCCTCCTTCAGCTTCTTCCAGAGGTTGTAGGAATTCACAAGGCAAGTCATGTACTCGGGACGGCGAGACAACGCATCAGCAACTCGATTAGAACAACCCTTTTTGTGTCTTAGCTAAAAGTCAAAAATGTCAATCTCATGGAACCAGCGAAGTAATGTAGGGGACAAGGTGTTTTGCTTTTTGATCCATGTCAAAGTCTCATGATCTGAGAACATTTTAAAGTGGCGTCCCAAAAGATAATCCTTCCAGTGATCCAAAGCCATACGCAAAGCATAGAGCTCGTGCATGTAGGTGGAAGTGGCTACCTTTGCGCTGGGGATGTGTTTGCTGTAGTACTCGCGCAGCCGCAAGCCATCGTCGTCATCTTGTTGCAGCTCTGCACCAATCCCATATTGGCTAGCATCCATAGTGACTACGAATGTTAGTTTGGACTTCGCAATGTGGAGTACGGGGTAACTTACCAAGGCCTCTTTCAAGGCTTCAAATGCGGTCTCACATGTTGCATCCCACGCGTAAGGTACATTCTTACTTGTTAATCGGGACAACGGGCGAGCAACAATAGAGAATCGAGGAACAAACTTTCGAGACCAAGGAAATAACGATGTTAATGGCGTTCGCGGATGTTTACGGGTTGAGGGCACTTGCCTATGACCTCAACCTTGGTTGCCTCAAGCTCGAGGCCTGCTGTAGACAACCGATGCCCAAGATAGATGACGCTATCCCTCCCGAACTCAGATTTCTCTAAGTTGAGATGGAGTTGCGTTTTCTTGAGGATGGTGAACACTTCCTCAAGGTGCTTCATGTATTCCTCGATGGATTTGTTGAAGATAAGAATATCATCGAGATACACCACCACAAACCGACCAATCTGTTCGCGGTGGACCTTGTCCATAACGCTTTGAAAGGTGGCCGGTGCGTTCGTGAGGCTGAAGGGTGTTACGTTACATTCGTAAAGCCCATCACGTGTCTCGAACGCAGTCTTGTGCTGGTCCGCAGGATCGACTTCAATCTGGTGGTATCAAGATTTGATATCGATCTTGGAGAAGACCTTGCACCCGCCGGCAGCATCAAGCAAGTCATCTATGTGTGGCAATGGGTATGCATTCTTTATAGTGATGCGGTTTAAACCGCGATAATCAATACACATACGAAGCTTGCCTCCTTTCTTAGGGACAAACAAAACAGGTGCCCCAAATTCAGATTCGCTAGGTTTGATCCAACCCTTGTCGATGATTTCGTCGACTTGTCTCCGGAGTTCCTCCAACTCGCCGGATCCCATTCAGTATACGCAACCCTTTGGAGGAACAACACCTTCGACCAACTCGATTGTGTGTCGGACCGATCGTGTGGGGACTCCACGTGGTTCGGTTAAAACTTCCGAGAATCGATCAAGTAGGTTTTGAATACTTGTTGGGACCGGCAAGGGCGAAGGGTTAGCAAACGGATCACCTAGATCAGGTCGCAGATTATGAATAGAGGCGACCGAATCTGAAGTAGAGTCATTTAGACTAGTAGAAGGTAGAAAAGTAGTAGAAGCGCTGGAGATGAAGTAGTATTGGTCTTAGCCGCAAAAGTAGATGGCACATGAGTAGGGCGAATATAGGCAACATACATTTGTTCGTCCTCTTTGTGCTTGCACCACTTTTTACAGAACTGCATGGCATTGAGAAAAATCATTGGGGACTCGTGCTTCTCACCCAAGAGGACGGGAAGCTCGTTCCCTTGAGCATCTTTGACCATGAAGAGTGGCTCCTTCCACCTGGTCCATTCGCATTAGGACTGCAGCCAACCCAAGCCAAGGACTGCATCGAAGGGACACTTGTCAAGGACACACAAGTTCAATGCGTAAGTGACTGTTGTCCTTGTCAACGGTAGTGCGCACAC